AAACAAAGTGTAGTACCACTCTAGTGCAGAGACAGAGTATAGAGCAATGACCCAAAGAATTTGTGAATTATTATAGTTGCAAAAACTAATGAGGGAATTAAAATTGTTTAAAGAGGAGAGACTATTTCTATTTTGTGACAATAAAGCATCTCTTAACATTGCTCATAATCCAGTTCAACATGATAGGACAAAACACATTGAAATTGATCGACATTTCATAAAAGAGAAGGTGGTTGGTAGCTATTTATACTTATATCATGTATTTTTTGGTGAACAGGTGGCTAATATTTTCACTAAAGGACTATGCAATAAATCTCTTCAGAACTTGGTTTGCAAGTTTGACGTGTGTGATATTTTTGCGCCAACTTAAGGGGGAGTGTTGATAATGATTCTATGTTAAGTAAAGTATTAAGCAATAAATCTCTTCAGAACTTGGTTTGCAAGTTCAGTGTGTGTGATATTTTTGCGCCAACTTAAGGGGGAGTGTTGATAATGACTCTATGTTAAGTAAAGTATTAAGCTATAGTTAAAGTTTTAATTATAAAGATATATCATATAATTAAAATTTTCTTAAAATAAGGATAATTACTCTATATATATATCTGCTAAGTGTAAACCCAAAACATACAAGAAATAAAATTGGAAGTTTATTTTCTCCAAAATTTTCAATAACCTACAATGAAAGTTTGTGGATGCCATACAAAACCTAATTTGGAATTTAGTTATGGGTTTGGTTGTTGGAAAATCAAGTTGGGAATTAAAATATTGTTTGATTATTCTGTTCTTCGCAATCTGTTTTGAAGCTTAGGAGTAGCTTATCATAGAGAACCCAACAATCTTTAAGTTTAGGAAGAAACTAAGTTTCTCTGAATAAGAGGATTGGGAAAGTCATGGAATTTGTCGAGAATAGAGGGACCATCTTTGGAAATGGGAGGTATTGCCTTCCTAAGAAGGTGGGTTTGGTCCTGAAATTTAGTGTCCTGGAACATTGTTGTCTTTGCCAAATGGTTATGGTGTTCCAGAAAGGAACTTGATATTTTTGTGGTGTAGGGTGATAAGTAAGTTTGTGTTATACTAGAAATTTTGCGACATTGAATCAGGTTCTTTCTTCGGCCACAGAAGCCACTAAAAAGTAATCAGTAAGGCATATTTTCTATTTGACTTGCTTGTGCAGGTGAGGTTGGGGGATGAATCTCATTTTCTTTTTCTGTTTGGGAAGATCCATGGGTGGGAAAGGGGATGAGTCTTTATCTCTGTTTTTGTTTGGGGAGATCTGTGTGGGGACTATACTTGCATCTTTTTCTCTAGCCTTTATGGACTATCTTGTAAACATAATTCTCCAATTCTTTCCTTTTTGTCCTTACATGATAATCATGTATCTTGGAATCTTTACTTTTTTAAGAAATCTCAATAACCAAGAAACATCTGACTTAGTGTCTTTGATATTTTTGCTGGATTCATTTTGTTACTTTTCCAACCCTTGCTCTAGAATTTGGTCTCTTGATCCTTTAGGGGCCTATACCTGTAGATCTTTCTTTGATCACCTCTTCTAAATTGTTCTTTCCTCTGATATGTGCTTCATATGTTTTTGTAATTGACAACATAACAATCATTTTTTTTTCTACATTGTGGTATGGCTTGGAAGGTTTGGAGTAGTGTTTTTTTCTTCTCCTTTTGGGTTCTTACCCGTCAAACTTAGAGATTTTCATTTCTACTTCTCTTTTTGATTTTGGAAGGAGCAAAGAGCATTCCACACTTTGGAGTGGAGCAGTTTTTCTAGGTTTTTGGGTCCTGTGGTTGAAGGCAAATTCTAGAATTTTGATAAGAGTTTCTATTCTTTACTGAATTGTGGGATATGAATGTGCATTTAGCTTCTGCTTTGGGTACAGTGCATGGATCTTTAGGGGGATTTCTCTTTCTGCACTTAAGATGCATTGAGTTACTATATTGTGCTAATTCTTTAGTTTTATTGTTCTCTTATAAGATTCTTTTTTTTTTATAAAAAAAAATTATTGTAATCCTTTTAAAAATTTTGTGGAGGATAATAAAAAAAAATTATTGTAATCCTTTTAAAAATTTTGTGGAGGATAATAGCTTATCCTCCTATAGATTCTATCTTCTCTTTCCTTATCTCTTTCTATAAAATGAAGTCTGCTTAACTGTTTCATTTCCAAATGTTACGAAAGAACCATAGAACTACCCATGGTGGCAAATGTAACCACTAACAAGAGGCATAACTAACTTTTAAAACAACCAGAAATAGAACCTTTTGGAAATGAGATCATTACTGCCTTGGACTTCACTCCTGGAAAGTAAAAGTTATTTGAAAAGCCTAGATGTGGTTGCACTACCCCCATAGTGTGCCAGTCTCTCTTCTTTATTACTTTATACCACTGCAGTTAATTTGAAAAAGAAAATCCTAAAATGGTTTCTGTTTGTCGTGTTAAAGGTCCCTAGAAGGTTCACTTCTGATTTTCGACTGCGCCGAAGTGCTAGAATTGCTGCACGCAAGAATGCAACTGCCTCAACATGTACATTGAACCCCTTATCATTTCATTCTTCAACGGATGATAAAGGCCAAAATGAACATATTAAGGAAGGTAACGTTATATCTATGTGAGTTTCATGTTATGTTTATTTATTTTATTTTAAACTCTAGATAAATTAAGTAGCTGAAATGTCAATCAATGTGTGTGTGTGTGTGTGTATATATATATATATATATATATATATATGAAATAGTAAAGTTAGATGATTGGAAAAGCTTAAACCAATAGAAAATGAATAAATTATTTATATTTTGATTTGTTCCTCATGCATATGGGCATTAGATTGAAAGTTGAACTGTACCCTGTATAGGCCTACCATATATGGTGTTAAATTTTTGTTTTATTTTATTCCTAATAGAAATGGGCTAGTCAACATTGAACTCCTGCCATCTTGCTTCATACCAACCGAAGTAGTAAGTTGGATGACCAATATCCAACAATTTGAAGTTTATAGAAACCTGTTCAACTTGATTATATATAGTCTAATAGATTCATTGAATAGATGATCATCACTTTCAAAATATGAAATTGCCACCAAAATGGACTTTAACACATTAAAGCTCGCTAGATTAGGAGTCTATCTTATGTCTGTTTTAGATCTTTAATCTGAAATGTTTTTCTAGTTTATTTTGTCTGCTTCAGTTATATCATGTGGTTTCTTTTCATGCTTACTAGAAATAGAAAAAGTTAGAATAGCTTATCCTTGTTATTGATAGGGGTGGAATTTACCTAGGGACAAAAAAATCCTCAAGATATCCACATGTAAGAGGTTGAAAGAATAGGAAATTTATGTTTGTTTGCTATGAGGGTATTGCTATTTCCGAGGGGCAAGCTGAAGGGAGGCAGAAATTGAGGAAAGCTGTAAGTATTGGCTTTGTATAGAGTGAGGACCATTGGCATTAATGAATAATAAATAACTGGCTTACTCAGATCTCTGCACATGTCTGCCAGCCAAAGATGATTCCTTTTCATGAAAAATAAGAGGCTATAAGGCTCTGATCAGTTACATACTAATTGAACCTACTATCCTTCTGTAGGTCAGCGTGCTTGTGATTTTGAGGGAAGTTAAGATTCAAGTAATAGGCACTTGTCTGCTCTTATTTTAGGAAAAAGATCAGGAAAAAATGAAGAACATATCCAATTTTGTAGCATTCGCATTGGTTCCGCATTGTATCATATGAGTGGTATTTCTATTTCTGATTGTGAATGAGTGAGAACAAACATCATTCCATTTTGACATGATTGTTTTCGCAATGTAGGGAAATGGCTTCAGACCCCTGGTGATGCTAGTTCAGATTATACAGCTGTGATTTCAAGTACATCTTCATTTGCTAATGATAGATCCTTCCAAAAAAATTTGAGTATGAAACCTAGTGGTTCTATCACAGATAGTTCAAGTATTGTATCTGGCATCACAGATACACTGGATCTCATGAGGCATATTGGGGAGGGCTATAGACTTTTGTGCATGTATAGGTGTCAGGTATTGTTGATTCAGAAAACATATCCAATTTGGAAAAGAGGTCTTGATATCATTTTAATGTATAAATTATCTAACAACTCTCCAAAGAAGAGAGGAAAAAGGGCAAAAAGTTGATATCATTGGTTGGCACTGCAGGAGGCTCTAAATGTCTATCAAAAGCTTCCACAGAAGCACTATAATACAGCATGGATTCTTTCCCAGGTAATGAAAATTGTTTCTTTGGGTATAAACTTCTGTTCGCATTTTAATTAAAAAATGATTTGTAATAATTTTTTTGTATAAAGTGTTAAAACCAGTAGTACCAAAGATACATGCAAATAAAAGCAAATCATCAGAAATAATACACATGGGCCAGCCTAAGACAAAAGTCGGCAAAAGAAAAAATCTTATCTAAAAACTATGCTCAAATTTTGGGTCAAAATTGGAGCTGGGGACAAAAGTTTTCTAATTGTGTTGAGGCCTGACCTGCCTAATGAAGTGAAGGCAAAATTTTTTGTTATGATTTCTTGCTTGATATCTAGATTCACATGAATTCTGTAATGATAGTATGATTGGAGCATACTAACAAGAAAGGAAGAAGAGGAAGAAGCATGTACATGTTGAGTGTTGGTCAGCCTTGATGTTACATTCTTTGAAAATACTCTTTAGGGTGTGTTTGGATGGTAATTTATTAATGCATGATACGGTAATTTCATATTTTACTTTATTTGTTTGTATTTTCAGATATATGATATGATTTTTCGTTAGTTGTTACATGGTTCTCAAAACCACCATTTTCTCCATTTTTTTAAACCACCAAATCAGTGGTTTTGTGTGGTTTGATATTTTTTATTCCATTTTTACCGATACTCTTTTTTGTTATTGCCACTTGATCTTCTTTTTTATAAAATTTATTTATTTTATTATATATATTCATATATTTTTAATTATATATATTTAATTATATATATACATACATCTGTATATTTAATATATATATATACACATATATAATATATTTGGTTATATATATGCATATATAATATATAATTAAATATATATTTATTTAAGTACATATATTTTTTTATCTTTTCTCTTTTTATTTTTTCATTTATTATTACATATAATGAAATATGGGTAAAATAGGTATTTTGATCAAATATACAACTATACCATCCTATCAATCTAAACAAAAACAACTATCATTACCATACATTAATACACAATCTTTCCAAACATGGTATAACTTTGCCATTACTATACTCTGTCATTGGCATACAATACCATACATTAATGAATCATTTTAAAAGTCATCCAAACACACTTTTACTTTTAGGACATTAATGTTTAGGGGTGTTACAAGATTATAGATTATTTCTGTGTAATTAACATGATTATCTTTCCATATAAATTAGCATAATTATAAGCAAAAAATTAATAAAGTAATTTTTGTTGGTTATTATTTATAGACTCTTTTGTATGTATATATATATCCCGAACCTCCTGAAATAAAACACAAGAAATATTTTACCTATTTTCTCTATTAGTTCACATGGTATAAGAGATAGGTTAGAGAGCGAGACAAAAAATAAAAAAAGGGAAAGAGGAAAATAGATTTGGTGTTTTTTCTTATCCCCGACCACCACCTAAAACTAGAAAAGTGGTAGTGGTAGGATATGTGTAGGGGCAACCACTGGTGGTTCAGGTTTGAACCAACACCGAAGAAGCGCTCGATTAGATGTTTCGACAGTGCGTGGCACGACTTACTAAAGGAGTCGTGGTAGGCTGGAAAGAGAATGCACGGCGGCAATTTGTTTAGATCTTCTGGTGAAGCTGCGCAACCCTTCAGTGCACAAGAAGACTAAAGCAGATGGTGGTGAAGCGTGATCTTGAAACCAGGAAGCTGGAGAGAGAACACGCGGGTAGTTGGCGAAGACGAATTCCGGTGGTTTTTCGGTGTGCTTTCACCAAATCCGTACCAGATTTGAGCAGGTGCGTGTTTCTGTGGTGTTTCCTGGCTAGATCAAGGGGGTGTGTGTGGTTTCCGGTGGCGGCGCATGCAGTAGTGAACGATTTTCCGATGGTGGCCGTGAGCTTCCGGTGATTTGTGATTTATTTGTAGTGTTTTATTTTTCTATCTATCTCTGGTTGCTGTTTATCTGGGTGTTTTGGGTGACATCTTATTTTTTAAATTAAAATGGGTAATAACAAATTTTTCGTAAGTAAGATAGTTCCAGTTTTGCCAAAAATTATTGAACATAAACTGAATGGTACCAATTATTTGTAGTGAAACAAGATTATTAGAGTTTATCTATGCAGTATTGACAAAGATAATCACTTAGTTCAACACCCTTTCACTGATGAAACTAGACAAGCATGACTAAAAGGTGATACACGGTTATTCTTGCAAATTAGAAATTCAATTAACAGTGAAATAATTGATCTAATTAATTATTGTGTGTTTGTTAAAGAACTGTAAAAGATTAGGAATATATGTGAATATTTCTTGTTATTTCATTCCAATAGGATTAGGGATATATACACATACAGATGAGTTTATTTATGGTAATAAACATAAATTACCCTATTAATTTGCTGTCTAATTATGCTAATATATATGAAAAGGTAATTACATAATACACAAGAATATTCTGTAATCTTGTAACACTCCCCCTCAAGTTGGAGCATAAATATTAATCATGCCTACCTTATTACGAAGACACTCAGTTCGAGTTTCATTTAGAGGATTTGTGAATATATTACTTAGTTGTTTCCTTGTCTTCACATGCTAGTAGATATCAAGTTTTTCTAAATCTTCTCATGGATGAAGTGACAATCAATGTCAATATGTTCGGTTCTTTTATGATATACCGAATTTGAGATAATATGAAAAACAACCTGATTATCACACCAGGTTTTGCAGGTGATATGGGGTTTAAATCCACTTCAGGTAAAATGTGATGTATCCATAAGATTTCGCATGTGGACTGAGTCATAACTCTATACTCGGATTTTGCACTGGACTGAGATACAACAGTTTGTTTGTTACTTCTCCATGATATGAGGTTCCCACCAACAAAAACATAATAGTTCGTAGTGAACCGTGTATTAATTTTAAATTTAATCCAATCAGTATCTTCAAACCATTCAATGTGAGTGTGCTCATAATTGCTAAATAATATGCCAAGTCCCGGAACACATTTTAAATAGTATAAAATTTGTTTTAGAACCTTTCAGTGTTTGATTGTAGGTGTCGACATAAATTGACTAACAACACTGACAAGATATACTATATTTGGGCGAGTTACTGTGAGGTAGTTTAATTTTCTAACTAGTCATCTATATTTTTTTGGATCATCAAGGGGATCACCATCATTTTTTGTAGGATGTAACATTTGACATTATTGGTGTATTGCATGGTTTAACTCTTACTTTTTCGCTCTCTGCAAGTAAATCAAGTACATATTTTTTCTGAAATAAGAAAATCCCTTTCTTGTTGCTTGTTACTTCAACTCCCAAGAAATATTTTAGCTGCCTCAATTATTTGATGTGAAACTTGATATGCAAAAATGATTTGCAAGAAGATATTCTTGCATAATCATCTCCTATAATGATAATATCATTAACATAAAAAATAAGAAGTATAATACCAACAGTTGATTGTCTATAGAAGACCGAAGTATCACACTTACTCTTCTTCAATCCAAACTCTAAGATTACTTCACTAAACTTGTCAAACCACGCACGGGGATTCTGCTTTAAACCATATAAAGATTTTTTTAAATGACATATTTTCTCTTATTCCCACTAAGTAACAAATTCAGGTGGTTGCTCCATATACACTTCTTCTAAAAGATCACAATGAAAAAATGCATCTTAATATCCAATTGGTATAAGCGCTAGTTTCGGGAGATTACAATAAAGACGAATAAACGGATAGGGGTAAGTTTTGTCACTAGAGAGAATGTATCAGAATAATCAACCCCATAAATCTGAGTATAATTTTTCGCTACCAGTCTACCTTTAAGTCTTGTCACAGAGGCATCTGTATTCACTTTAATTGAAAATACTCATTTGCACCCTATAACCTTTTTGTCTTTGGGTAAATTCACCAAATTTCAAGTATGATTTTCATCAAGATTATTTCTCTTTTCAAACATTGCATTACATCAATCAGGGTGATTTAGAGTTTTCTTAATTGTTTTGCGCATAAAAATTGAATCTATAGAGTTAATTAAAGAGATAGATGAAGGAGACAAGTGATTATATGAAAAAAAATTAGCAATGAGATAATTAGAGTTAGGAAAGGTGCATTGACTTGTACTTTTATGAAAACTTATGAGAAAATCAAGATCATGTGAGCAAGGATCAGATAACGAAAAAACTAGTAGGACATATATCGTTGGTCTGTTGTCTTCTGAAATAAACACGAACAATTGACGCTTCTTATTGAGTCGGAGGCATACCATCATTAGTTTACTCAATTAGAACTGGAGGTACATCGGAAGAAACACTATTTTGTGGTTGCTTGGTAGAGGTACTGAGCGGGAGCCAATAGATGAGCTACTCATCATCCACCTAATTTGTAGAACTAGACAGTGAGGAGAAGAACAGGATATTCTTTAACGAATTATGGTGATACTTTGCTAATTGATATGACTCACAACCTAATGAAAATATATCATGAAAATGAGGATATAGCTTTTTCAACACAGTGAGAGACGGATGTCCCAATTGATAATGTGTTTCAAATAGAGAGATGACACCAGAGCAAGCAACTGATCGAAGCACCCAAGTATTAAGAATGTAGAGACCTTCTAATAAATGTTCTTAATTTATTTCATCATAAGATCTTAAAAAAAACAATGATCAGGAAAGAATGAAACACAACAATTAAGATGTTTAGTAGGTTTACTTACATAAATCAAATTGAAAATAAGTTTAGGTAAACTTAATACAGATGACAAAGTAAAGGATGAAATTGGTTTTATAGTCCTAGAACCCATAATATTATAGGTTGACTCATCAGTAATGGTTATAGGAGAATGTGTTTTTTGTGTGATCGAAAAGTAGAGAATATATTAGGGTTATTTGTCATGTGATTTGTAGCACCAAAATCAATCACCTATTTGTTTGAAGAGAAAATAAGATATTTTTTACCTGATTTAGAAGAAGTAATGACCGGTGTGCATTTATTTAAAGATTCTTGAAACTGAGAGATT